CATCAAATTGTCAATCTTTTAGGACAAAAACACTTAAATAAACATGTTTCGCTCTTGGGTGAAAGAAGACAACTCTATGTAAACGCACATACTTCGTAGGATTAAATGCTTGGAAAAATCCACAATCAATTCTTCATGAAATCAACGAATCTGGACCTTTTCTACTCCTTTTTCTTCTTGAGTTCTTCTCTGTAAAACCCTAACGTGATTTTTCAATTGTGAAACCTAATCAAATTCAGTTATAAGCCCAATTTAATTACTAAAAACAAATTAACTTAATTGGGTAAGGAAAAGACCATTATACCCAACTTTGAACGGGCATATCTCCCTCATACGAGCTCAAAAATTAGCAAACTCAGTGAAGTTGGAAAGAAAATTCCAAGACCTTTCAGTTAACATCTTATTTGCACCTAACTTATCATGTACTGGAAGTTATGGTTATTTGAAGTTGACCCAAAATTCATACTTATCATAACTTAGAAAAATTTCATAATCACACTTTCAAAAAATGGTTCTTTCTAATACTATCTCTTTCCATTAGGGAGGTGTTACATGTCCTCTACACAAGCCATAACTAATTGATAAGTCTCTGAAGCCACACTCGTTAACAGGAAAGTACAAAGCATAAAATGAGCCTTATACACAAAGAATAACCAGGTACTATTCAAGATGTATATTCCCACAATATCTCGAAGGAGAAACAAATTCTTGAGGCAAGATAACTAGGTGTCTTTCACATGTGCAATCCAATAACCATTATACGTGACTCCAATAAAAATTAAACCAAATCATCATTTTCTACATAACCTTATCATCACAATAAACAAGAATAATAGGCAAACTAAATATTATACAGGGGCTGCGAAAAACCAGAATATCAAAGACACCACGAGAAGGCTTAAAAATCTATAAACTGATGTTACGGCATGGAATTACAAAGAAGGGTTATAAAATAAGATTACGTCAACTAATTTATTTGAATTTATAAGACTAAGATTATTCCTCTTTGAATAAACAACAAACAAATCTTGAATCAACAAGAAAATTATACCAAAACGATGAGCTCGCGACATAGAGCAACTTTCGTTCAACTGTTGAGTTGAGAATCTAAGGACCCAAGGAGTATTTCGAGGGTGGATTATGTTCTTTTATGGAATTTCATATGTATCTCATGAAAAATAACAAAGAAGGTGGTCATTTATAAAGACCACCGGCTTATAGCTAAGTGATCTGGTTCGAGGTGTGTATATATCTCTCTATTCTGAATTTGTACAGATGAGTGTTTTAGTGCCATGGAAACTAGACTCGTAGAACTTCAATTTTATAGTTTATGCGCATTTTAATTCTTTATATATTAGGAGGAATAAAGTTTGGATTTACTAGAGATCCAATAAATTTCACTCCTCGGTTTCTTCTTTCTTTTTTTGGTAATAAGGTTGGTGTTTATACTTCTCGTTGATGATTTTGAGTTTAGATTGCATAAATGTTGTGAAATTGAGCCTTGTAACTGAGATTAAGTGTTTCATTTAGTTGGATAGCATCATATTCTTGAATTTGAACTATACCATGTGATTTTGACTATGAATGTGTGTATAAATGGTGAATCATGATTGTGTTGGTTAGAATACTAAATTGAGTCGATTTATTTGTTGGTTTGTGCTTAATTGAATGTGAGTGAAGTATGAGTATCTTAGTGTTGACCCATTGTATTATTCCCAATGATAGAAAAGGTGACTACTTTCTTAAGGGGACTACTTTCATAAGGCGAAATATCAATTAGAGCAACACTTAGTGATAAACGAGGGGAATCTAAGTACCCATGGGACGAAAATCATATAAGTGAATTTTAATTGTTGGGGGGAAACTCATATTTATTGTGCAGGTCGATTTAAATTTGAAAAATTGGCATTGGGCTTAAAATTCTTTTTTGACGATCTTGTGTTTGCTCACCAAGAAACATAGGCGAATCACAGAGTAAAACCTATCTCGCCTTCTTGAGCTTATGCATGGCCTTGGGTGTTGTCCTACTTGGTGGCCTTGTCTTTGTACATCGAACTAATTGGGTCACTACTTAAAAAAACAGCACTTAGCGACGGACACAATCCATCACTATATAATTAAAATCCGTCACTAATCATGATTAGTGACAGATTAGAAACAAATTATTGATTATTGCTATTATGCTCGTTAGTAATCTCTTAGTGACCAAAAATAGTTCCGTCACAAGTTTAGCGACATCATAGTGACAAAATATTTCCGTCACCACTTGTTAGTGAAGGATTTAGTCGTCATTATATTTATGTAATTTTGTTGCTTATTTCATAATTATATGACAAAAAAATGAGTTTTGTTGAAACTTTAGCGACATCATAGTGAAGAAACATTTCTGTAGCCACATGTTAGCGACGGACTGATTCGTCATTATGTTATATAGTGTTGTTGCGAATTTCATAATTGATTTCATCATTATGGATAAATTTGCGACGAAAGTTCCATCAACATATTATGTTACAACATATTAGGCTTTTAATAATTCGTCGCTGATCCGTCGTCAACATTCTTTTCGTAGCAACGACCAAACAGTCGCTAAATTTGTTGCTAAAAATTATTTTATTTGGTTATTTTAAATATGCATTGCTCAAATAAAATAAATTAAAATTACTAAATACTCCAAAATTAACAAATATTCGTATTAAATAATACTCATTGACTATTCACAATATAAGTAGAAATTTCCAAAACCATACATTTTTAGTCAAAAATATTTATGGATTGTCGGCTGGAGTAATTGATGATTGCACCTTCTCAACAATAATAGGAACAAGATGACTAGTTAGTGCAGACATCATTTGCTTTACAAAATCATCCATATTTGTTATTGATGTTGATTGAGAAAATGGAGGTGGTAATGATGATGAGCCACAAAGATTCTCCCCATAGTAATTTTTTGCTACAAATCCAATACCTTATATCCTTCTTTTCTTTTCTCCCTTAGCACCTTGGTAATATGTTTCACGTTGATCAATATTAGTTTGAGAAACTACTTTTTGCCGTATATTTATTCATATTTTTCCTATAATAAGTAGAGAAAATGAGAAAGTAATAAACATACGGGAAAAAACAAATTTTGAAGGAAAATGTAGAAAATTACACAAACTTTTAAGCTTAAAGGACATGTCCCTTGTTTTACCAGGAAAGAACTATGTTGTTGTAGCAAGATAGGCTGTCTAGTTTCCATGTGCATATAGTAATGTATCAACTTATCAAAAGTTTATCTCAATTATAAAAGAACTGTGTTGTTGCAAGGAAATAGGCTATCAGGTACCATAAGCACAATTATCAACTATCTGTTTATCATTTTCTTTCTATAGGTACATGAAATACGATGTGAATAAGCTCTGAGTGTACATAGAAAACGACAGAACTTCAAATGTAGCTGTGAACTTTTGAATACTGCAATAAGATTCACATCCAGAAAATAACAGAGGCTAAAATTTATAGGACATTCATCTCATCTACATGCAAAAACCGTAAAGTTATCTACCAAAACTAAAATAAGAAGAATGTTATGTAGTTATTAGTGCATATTCATGATTCAGAGGTACTACTATACAAAAATCAAGGGCATAGAACATGTCACGAATGAGTTTCATGTGGCTTCAGCAGACTCAGCAGAAGAAGTGACTGCTCGTGGCGAGACTTGCCTTCATTTAGCTGTCAAGAATCATTAGTTTGAAGCATTAAAGTTATTACTTGAAAACCTAATTGTTTTTGACATGTATCATCTTTTAAACAAGAAGGATTTACAATGAAACACTATTTTGCATCTTGTTGTCTCAACTAAGCAATACAAGGCAAGTATATTTGAATAAGAAACTTGCAAGTGTTGGTTATTCTAGTTGAAGATCAATAAAATGGACAATCCAAGAGTAAACAAACAGGGGACCAACCTCAATCTAGTGTTTAGAAGCTTCACGATTGCTCAAATTATAATAGAACCAAAGATTTTCCAAAAAAACTAAGTGATACTATTCTTGTGATAGGCATTCTAATTGCAACAGGAACTCATCAAGCAGGTTTCAACCCACCAAGAAACGTATGGCAGGACACTTATTAGCCTGACGACAATAACAACAGTAATATTCTTGATGGCAGCACACTTACTAGCCAAACAAAAACAACACTAAAATAGAAATGGAAAAGCCTCAAACAACAATATTCCAATTACACAAAAATAGTAGTACTAGTTCTCTTTAAAACTGAACATTAATTTCACCAAAAAGAACTGCACTAGAGTTACACAAATACGACACTAGAATCACGTAAAAAAAAGACTAAAATAAAATCGAGAAGTCTCAAAATATCATTAGAATTATACCAAATAGCAGCAACAGATACACTTTAAAACATGACTAAAATTGCACTAAAAATACAGTAGGAAAGAACCAAAACACATCTGAGCTTTAGACTTACATGGAAATCTGTAGAACGCTCACCAAAAAATTATTTCCTATCATGTCCGTGCGTACAAACGTGCAGGCATAACTAACTTGGCATAGGATCTCGACCTTTTGCAATAGTCTATACGAAAGAAATAACGTTATATATACCATACAATAGACACTGTTAGGTACAGAGTTAATATATACTCAAAAGTTTCCTGCTATGTGCTCCAATTGAAACTGAGCCGCAAATGTGAGTTCCAACAAAAATTTCATGGCTGCGATGACAATTTTTCAAATTTCCGACTTCTTAATAGACTATGCACTTCCCCAAAGCTGCATCCATCTTTCCCACAGATTTTTTGGTACATTACTAGGCCTAACAACATCTTTTTTTATTTTAGAAATGAAATTCCTATATTTCACCGATGGAAACATCCCAGTAGAAATTTTTCTGAAATAAGTTTTGAAAGTAATACATTAATGTCCTATCTAAATATGTGAATATACTTGCTAAACTCATTAACAACGAAGAGTTATACCTTGAATTCTCCAAAATAACCATTTCTTACAACCGTTGAGACACCTTTTAAATTGATTCCATTGGGATCAACATCACTTATGAAAAATTTTGATAGTGAAATACTATCTAAAATATCTTCAATGTGTTCAGCACAGTAAGTAGATAAAAGTTCAGAAATACAATCAAGAGAATAGACCAACTCTGCAGAAGTTGGAAAGACATGGGTCCTTGTATGACTTGTGTTGGATTCATCTTCAGCAACTCCATTGGTATAACATGATGGAACATAGCTCTTAGTAGAAAGACTCTTGCCTACTGTGTTACTCTTATTTGGTGTAGTTGGAGGCGTCTTATAGATAGTGGGGCTGATAGTTTGAGTTGACGTTTCAATATTGCTTGGATACCATCTTGTTGAGGAAAAACTATAGTGGGCTTGGGAATAGTTGTCATGCTTACACGAATAACAGAATTGATCCCACCTGAGAATTTTCCATGAATTTTATCTCAAGCCATACCTGTAAACAAATGTAATATTGTTGTTAGATCATGACTAATACAAAATTAAATTAAAGATAACACATAATAATGAGATTACGTAGAGCAATGCTAAAATATTAAAATTGTCTCTGTAGGAGCTTGTTGATAAAGTGATAAAATTAGAACCTTGACATACAAGAGTAACATAGGTATCTATTACAAAAGTAACAAGAGTAAAGGGATCATGAATTTCTACCGTAAGCTTTACACAAAGAATGAGAATTACAAATATGTTACATATTTTGAAAATTTGAACACAATCACAAGTTATGGCATTAGGGAAAGGGAGAAGCTTTTTAAGAGGCTAAAATTTTCAATACCATCATATCTAATAAGGTTCCAAAACCTGATGGTTACACAATCACAAACAAGTAATGTTAGTCAATTGAAATAAATAATCTATTTACAAATTGAAACAATTAATAGAACACACATAGTTCAAATCCAAGAGATATTTCTTTTAAAAAGCCTAAATTGAAAAGTAAAAGTTAGAGCAGATTATCCGTGATTGAAAATCAAAAACAAACAAAATATAATGAAAATGCAATAGCAGTGATGAAGCACTAGTCAGTGTCTTCTTCAAAGTCTTCCTCTTCCTCATCCCCATTCTCCTCAGAAGGTAACAATCACAAACCGTGGACTAGAAGGGTACTCACATTCATATTCATCAAATTCGAACAAAACATGCATATTGGTAAAACAAGAACAATTTCTAAAGTTCTTCACTAGGTAGATTTAAAAAAATACGAACTATCTAATTATTATATCAATCTCTTCAATTGATGAGAAACAAAACGGATTGAAGCATTGCAATTAATTTACAATATAAACAACTTCCGGTCTGTGAGAAACTCAAGAGAGAAAATAATTTGGAGCCAATACTTCATTTCATCAGCAACAGACAGAAGCACATTAGATGAAAAACTTTCTATTTAATAAGCAGTTAGCAAATAAATTTAATCTTAGAGGTTCTTGATGACTATGTAGTTATTTTTATTTGATTGGCTAATAATTTATTATATAGAACAAATAGCTAATAAGTACAAAAATTTCTCTAGAAAATTAAATCAAAGAAAAAGTTAAAGTGTAAAATGCATTATTCTAGCAAATAAAAGCAATAAACAAGTTAAAATTTAGAATGTATTCCTCTAGCAAGAACTCATCACGAAAACATCCACAACAACAAAATCAGAATTCTCCAAACTTTTAACTAATCTCTTCAAAAAATTCTAACTCGAATTGTCTCGAGATAATGACAACAATCTTCATCATAGTTAGATTGAGTAAACAAAATACCTCAGAACTTAAATCTTGAGCTAAATCAGAGAGAGAAACGAAGAGTGAGGCTTACTTCAAGTGACTATCAACTAGGCCTTGATGATAAGGTTATAACAGCAGGGGCCTACAAGGTCTCAACATTTAATTACCTTCGTTATTCACAAGAATATGGAACAATAACAATATAAATAATGTACAGTGTGAAGTTGTTTCAAGAATACAGACAAAATATCATCTTAGTCAAAATACATAAAGAAATCAGAAGTAGATTTTAAGCACTAGATAATACTTCATTCTTTCTGACAAAATAGGACATAAAAACTTCTATAGGATGAATTTGACTTTCAAGAAAAAAACCATATTTTCAGAACACTTAAATATCTAAAAACCCTATTTTGAGAAAATCTCAATCCTACTTCAAGCAATCAAGATAAATAAAATAGAAAGAGTTAAGAGTTAAAATATACATTTTCATACACCCAAACCACTATAATCTCTATTTTTGGAAGATTAGTTGAAATAGAAATCAATGATTTTTTTCAAATGAAGTCATTGATACCCTAATTCAGCCAACCTATTATCCGATTCAGAAACGAGTTGGGATTCATATTTTGCAGAAAGAAAAGTTTAAACTACTCATTTTGAGAAACCACAACCTTATTGAGATGGAAGCTAAACGAAATGGAAATCGAGATGGGAGTTTGAACTTACAATGGAGACTTGAAAAACTAGCAGTGGAGACTTGGAAGGCTTTCAATGGAGCTTGAAGTGATACATGGAAAGCTTCAATGGAGATGGAGCTTGAGAGAGACTTTTTTGGAGAGAGAGGTTGAAATGTTGAAATGAATTTGTGCCCTAGAATTTATGGCTTTTGAAATATTCTGCGACAGATTAACTAACTTATTTTAACATTCGTCGCTTTCAAATTAATGTATTTATTTAGAAAAAATATAATGATGGATATTTTCGTCACTAAGCAATAAAAATTTTATAAAAATATATCAAAAATTTTAGCAACATTTTTTCGTCACTAATTCCGTCGCCCGATATTTATTAATTTTGTCACCCGTACTTTGTTGATAAATTCGTAGAAAATATTAGGTGCCAAAATTTTGCGCTAAAAATTAGCGACACAATAAATATTTCATTGCCAATCCACCGCTATATTTTTACTCAAAGAATTATTTATCAAATTTATAACAAAATGGTAATTCCATTTCAAATCCGTCGTTATATAGTGACGGAATAGTGTTCATCGCTAAAATCCGTCGCTAAATGCTGTGTTTTTAGTAATCAGTGAATCGCTGAGTTGGAGAAGTTTTCACCCTTGATGCTAGTGTTTTTCCTTTTTCAACTGTTAGCTTTGACCGACTTATCTCAGACAACTGAACGAACTCGGTGAATCAACAAGTTGGCATTGACTTTGACTTATGTACTTGATCTCTTGAATGTGTGCCACTATCTAATTTGGTGAGCTAAATGGGGCTCGCTAATCCTATTAGGCAATATTCCTTCTCATTAGGATAGATAAAGACTGTATTCAAGTTTGATTCAAAGTTTCTTCGAATTCAACTAACATTCATAAATCTTGTGCTTTAATGTGTGCATTGCAGGTGATGGCTAGAACAAAGGATAAGAATACAATCTAATCTTAACACAACGTCATCTAGGGAGTCTTCTACACCTCCTCTCGATAAGAAACAAAAGTTTCTTTCAACCAATGAGACTTCTGAGGCCTTAAATACTCATTGAACGAATCCTCAATCACCTTAAAAAAAGTTTGGGGGGGGGAGGTAAAAAGGAGCAAAAGCATATTTACAAAGAGTAGGTAAATATATGTTCAAAGTTGGTGTCATTGACACAAGATTCAACCATACTTCACATGTTCTCTTAATTATAGCTCCAATAGGTTTCAATAGGCTGAAAGCAGATGCGGAAGGCACAATTTTTCAGAGCACAGACTTTCTACTGATGGGGTTATGAGTGAGTACCCCAAAATATGGAGAAAAATCAATTCTATAATCTGAAACAATTAACAAGAGTTAGGAGGCTATATAAACCCAAGTAGGTACGAGAGTGTTATGATTCATATGCAAAGGCATTACTGAAGAAGAGAAAGGGATTGTTTGGAAGGCAATGTATGAATAAGAAATTAGAGGAAAGATGGTGCAATGTCATAGCACTTCGATTAATGAAGTATTAGGAACCCCGAACAATGTGATTGACGAATAGAAGACCCAGATGGCCACTTCATTGGATCAGTTGAAAGACTGGCTAGTCCCTGTAATATTCGCCGAGTATGCACTATCATGGATGGCTGAAGGTGCCGAAATTGAAAAGAAAGACCTGAGCATAGTGGTGAGGTAATAGTTTGGATTTATTAATAGCAATGTGATTTGTCCCAAAGTTAGTCTATACTCATGCGTCCAAAGGTCGTGTTAGTTGGTTCATTATTGGCACGGAGAAAATAAATATGGGAGATATAATTGTGGAAGAATATTACTGTGAGCCACATATAAGAAAACATATCTTCCCTTTTCGGTGCTCATTACCCAGCTTTGGAAGAAAGATTGAGTCCTCTTTTAGGTAAAACCAATGAAAGGATCACGCCAGTCTCCTGTATTGATATTCATTGGATCAAGGCTGAGTTTTTGAGAAATGATGCGGCTCAGAGGAAGCCACTACCACCAAACTCCATTCCAGTGGTGACCCTCTCATATTGACAACAGAGACCAACAAATGGAGCAGCTAGGTATTCCTACTCCATTGTCTAATGTTTGATTTTTTTATTCCCCTGCTACATCTTCACCTTTTATTTCTATATACACTGCAAATGTGAGGCTTTCCTCTTCTCTTGTTGATCATCCTCTATTGACCCATAAACTAATATATCAGATGGGAAGTCTTACCAAGTCAGCGATTTTACAGATGTCCGGGTTGAGAAAGACTTGCCCAAGCTCATAAAAAAGGCCATCAAATATTCCTTGGCTTCTATGGCTAAGCGGGTGTTCAAGTGAGAGAAGACGGTTGAGGACTACATTTCAGATTGGATGAGATGATTGCTAGAATAGATGTGTTGGAGAAGACTGGGGGAAGTTCAATTGGATTGGACACCCTTAGGGCTAGGCTTGTTGAAGGTTGAGGTGGTTCAGATTTGGTCAATCCTTTTTTAAGAAAAAATAAAAGAGTTGTTAAGAGTGGTAGGGCAACGGGTATTCTGCCCCAACCAATGACTCTTTCACCCTATAATTTATAAAGTGCAATATATATATATATTTATGGTTTACTTCAACACAAATATGTCACTATTAAATCTTTTTAGTACCCCAAACTTTTAAAAGTTACATTTTTATATTTTTTTATCTATAAATACCCCAATCTTTCATTATTTTTACTCACAAAAATACTCTTCATCTTCTACTCTCTCAACTCTCAAAACTTTTATGCTCTAATATCTTATACTCTTTTAAATTAATAATTACAAATTACAAATTATATTAGTTTGAAAGATTTGGTGGTTTATGAATTTGGTCTTTGAAACTTCAAAATTCAACTTTCAATTTTTGGCTTACGAGCATTCACGTCTATTTTTAAGTACACTTTTGGCATATTCGTTCCATATCACTTTTCATTTAGTCATTAATTTGTTTGCATTTAATTTTTATTTATTTATTTTGTGAGTAATTTGTCTCTAGTTTCTACTTATTTATTTAAGTATTTGTTTGCATTATACATTCGTATTATAAAAAATTTATTCACTTTTCTTATTTGAATATGGATTATGGTAAAAAAATTGAAAAAGGTAATATAAACATAGTTCAGTCGTTCACTAATTTATTTAACTCAAAATCCAAGAATAATAAAAAAATCGGTAGTTCTTTTAAATCTAAAACTTGAAAAATTAGTCAATTAAGAATAAATACAAAAGATTATACGCATGTTAATGAAATTATTTTTAATATTTATAGTAATAGTGGATTAAATCCTTATCATGAATCTTTACATAAAAGGTCTGATAATTTTTGATGAGGAATTACCTGAAGATGTTGAACATGATAATATAAATAATTATATTGATACATTTGATGATGATAATGATTATGATGAAGAAACTGAGTCAATTATGACTACTAGTCTCTCTCCCACTCCCTCTCCCTTTCGTTGTCCCTCTCATTCTCCCGTACATCCTAGGACTATGCTAGAATGTGCTAAAAAATCAATTATGCGGCAATTTATGACTCATGATGAAGATAAAACACAAGTTAATTTTAATAAATGTAAACATTGAACGAATCAAAAAGACTGTAGAAAAACAGGATGGGATGGGACATTCGAGTAACAATTTAATGGGATTTTATAAAATTTTTGTTTGCATGCTAAAGTTTTAGCCGCTTAAAAGAATGATACCCCCTTCCTGAAATTGTAGGAGTAGGGGGCTCTAATATGACCCAAACACAATTAAATCCTTCTAATGATTTTTGCCCTAGTACACAATGCTCATATAGTAGAGAAAAAAATCTTGAAGAATTAGCTAAATGATTGTTGTTCTGGGCTTGCCTTTGGATTTTGTTGAAAACCTCAGTTTTATTCATTATATTCAAATTGTGTACAATCCACATTTTAAAGATTTTACAAGAAACACAATTAAAAATGTTAATCTTTGATTGTCAAGATCCATATTTTCAATATCTTCGTTGTTTATCTGTCCCATTTCCTTGGTGTTAAGTATGACGATTCTCGATTGGAGTTTGATCTTAACGATTTTGAGTATTATGATTATTATATTTTTAATTTAAATCTTATGACTCATCAACTAATACTATTGGTGTTCGTCGAATTTACAAAATAAACTATCTGATATACATTGGACTAATGAGTTCGATGCAAGATCTGTTGCTATTGTTTATGAATTTTGTGGGTCTAGGGGTTAGTAATGTTTTACCCTTTTTCATATAATTTTTCTAGATATGTTTCTTTTTCGTTTTTTACTTTTCATTGTAAAATATGTATGTGTGTATGTGTATCCCTTTTTATTTGTCTTATCGGATATTCGATATCCGTTTTAGATTTAACACATATTTATACATATCTATCATGCAATTTCTCAATGTTTTTGTAATTAACATGTTATAAAAGTTTATTTACTTTCAGTTTAAGGTGATTAATATCATTTAATACGACTTGTTCATTATTATTGTTTTTTCTAATATTTATTTTTATATCCTTTACTTTGGTCTATCTTAAACAATCTCTTAACCTCACCTCCACAGGGTAGAAGTAGGGTCGCATGCACACCAATTTAATACAAGTGAAAATGAAAATAATATGAGATTTATTTAATGTCATATTTCCCTAGTGTTTTCAACATATACATTCAATCATCTAGCTTCTTTGTGTCCACTATAGTTGAATGAAACGTTGTTTGAAGTATTCAGTTAGTTTCATTGTAAGAGAAAGTAATGAAGTTATGTAAGTTCTATTAATTGCAAAACATCCTTCCAGACTATGATGATAGATAGCATGTACTTGTATATATTGATAACGTAAGTAATTTCTCTCTCTCTCTCTCTCTCTCTATATATATATATATATTATGTAAGTTATCTGTTGGTTATTTGTCTATACCCAATTTTGAACTATATCATTACAAATAAATTGAAGATGCAACCAAATAGAGAGGTGGAAAGTTGAAATCAACAAAGAATTAACTTTCTTATTTAATTGAAGTTAGTTTTATATATATCCTTTTATTAAATCCCATAGGCATATTCTTGCAAACACTCATTCAAATTTAGAAACAAAATCTAAGAGTCCCT